CCCCCCCCCCCCCCCCGCCCCATATTCTGAAGCTCTCAGGTGGTTGCTTGACCGTTCTCGGTTGGTCAGGGAAATGCACCCTCGACGCGAACCTACCAAGCAGAGCTTTCTTCATGATGGTGGTGATGATGATGATGATGATTTCTGACAGCTCGAACCTGGCTTATGAAGGCCCAGAGCCCGTAAGACATGTCAAGACTAATGCAGGGGCTTGAACAAATCAAAATGATACATATCCTCCATGTGCTTCCCATGTAATCAAATATGTTACAATATACCACATAAATTCCTGTTCGAAATGTGAAGGCCCCCTGTTTCATTTCCCGTCAGCAGTAGATAGGCTTAAACTTTTGGAGACTGAAGAGAGCTGCAAAGGTAAAAGGTTAAAGCTCCGCAGGCAGCCATTGACTTGTCTCTGAATCCAAAGCCCAATGAAATAGGAATATATACTACCGATCTTCCGTCAGTTTATTGAATAACGCTACTATAAGTCGAGGCTACAAGTTGCGAGTTCGCGATTATTGAGAGGTGCATTTGCAGACGTGGACCAGAACCTGAGGAGCATCGGCGGTGCCGTGGCTTAGGGTTTCTAAGGTTTAGGGTTAAGGGTCCATGTCGTCGTCTGGCTAGACTTGAGTCCAGTAGCGAGAAGGGCCATGGAGGATTGAAGGGCTTCAGATCGTGCAGCTCAATACACACCTGGGGTAGGGTGCAGATCAATGCGATCATGTTGGCCAATAGGGCTGAGTGCACGGAAACTTGGAAAGATCCGGAGCATGATGGCTGCCTGATAACATTTAAAAGCAATATGCCCAAGTGCCTGGCCTTCGGGCTCAGCACCTGTGACTCTATTCTGTTATATTATGATTTATTGTGTGATATTAGCCATTCTGTTCTGTTATATCGTATTTATTTTACACAAACCCTCAAGTTTCAGATGCAGGTTGAGATCCAAAGTCTTTGGCTTGGTGACAAAAGGCCCCACGCACCCGGCAAGGCACCCCAGTCCTTCTCGAAGAAGAACTGCTGCGGAGTCTAGCCTTACTCGTCTTAATTCATGACTTGGACCCACAACTTCGCTGGCAAGTTTTGCACTTCACAGCCTTGGCAAAGCGAGAGGGGAAAAGCCCTCAAGTCTACCTAGTCGAAACCCTAAACCCCAAACCCCTAAACCCATGGACGCTTGTGAACGGTTGTCCGAGTGCGAGCGCCGAAACCCAAAACCCTCAACCCAAACCAGACCTTAAAGTACACAAGAACTTGGCATCCATGAGCCTACATACATTTTCCCTTCTGAAAGCACGGGATCTTATCCAGATGACCGTAGCAGAAGGTAGTTACCGTACAATCCCATTCAATCTGAAGGTATATGTGTACCTTTCTATTTATACCTATATCTATATCATATCTGCAGATCTGTCTACATATTATTCAGAGCGACATGGAGAGAGTGCGTGAGTAAAAGAGCATAGAACGAACCGTGGACACTCAAGTCAACTGCGGCAAGGTATGGCCTCTTGTGGAAGCACTTGTGCAGCTGCCGGTGTGGAGTTGAAGGACTCGCAGGCCACAGCGTGCAGCCAGGGTCAACACTCTGCATCAGTTTGCTATACATGGTAAACATGTCAGCAGAATGAACGTGAACAGACTCTCGAACTATTTCTTGCGCACTTCGCATGGAATGAGAAAGGTGGCAGGGGTCCCCACATTGTTCGCCGAAATTAGGAACTGGCAGATGGAGGCATGGCCCACCAACTTAATCCATCGTGGGTTTGATACCGATGCATAGGGGTTGGGTGGATGCCAAAAGGTGTATCATTATCTGATCCTATAAGAGCTTTGTATAAAGCCCTTGTTCAGAGGATCCTGGCATCTTCAAATGCTTCCTGGCGAATGCTGGCGATTCCAGAGGCCTCCTGGTGCAGCTCCGTCAGGGTGCAGAGCCTGTGAATCTTGGTGCAGATCCTGTGTGTTCAGAGGCCCTACCTCAAGCAAGCCCCCGAGAAAGCTCTTTGAACGCCGTACTTCTCTGGCGTGGAACATGCTAGGATGCGTTGAATTTCGTGGATAGAGTGCAAACTAAAAATTTCAGTGAGACTTTCATCTTCCTGATTTCCTAAGGAATGACACGTTGGAGAAGCTGCAATCTCACCTGATCCTTGCGAACCCTAAACCCTAAACTCATCTGTCAATCAGGATTGTCGCGTCCCAAGACCACAAGCCTGACCTGCCAGCAGAGCGAGAACGCATCTCGCGCGCCGGAGGACCCGGCCGTGCAAAAGCCTTGCTTTGCGATTTTGACATGCTTGGAAGGCTTGACAGACATGCTTTGGCATGTATGTGTGTGTATACATACACATACACACACACACATATAGTATATGTATGCATCTGCATACATGGATAAAGAAGGATCCGTTTTCACAGGATCTCAACGTTTATGTCTCTGTCAAAAGCTGTGTGCAGTAGTCTCTTGGTTCCTTAAAGCTGGAGAGAGAAAAAAAGAGGATTCGTAACTGGCACCTCCCGGATGAATCCGGACGTCGCGCGGGTCGATGGCAATCTCGCTGTGTCGCGTGGCTTTGGTGGCTCGGCAAAGAACAAGGGCCACAATTCTGCGCCAGAAGCGGCTAGATTGGCTAGACTGCACGAGAGCATGTAGAAAAGAGTAAGAGGCAGCGTGCATGGACAGAAAGGAAGTCTGAGCTTTAGGCGACTTCGATTTCAAGAAGAATCCGGACAAGGAGGGCTCCCGGGGAGTTCTTGAAGGCTTTGGGCTTGTCGTGTGCCTTCTGACCATCAACATTTGGCAGCCTGTCCGGCCGGGACTGTGATTTGGGGTGGAGGGCAGGGTGCTTGCGCCGTCAAAGTGAATCATCTACTGTAGACGCTGAAACTCGTTTCACCCATGCTGACTGGCCCGTGCAGAGAGACCCCCGCGGGTTAGGTGCAGCTTTAGGGGATGCAGGGCAGCGGATACTTAGGTGCCACTCAGCTTAGAGCACCAAAAGCTTCAGGCTTCCTTGGATCGATCCTGGATACCGAAGCCAGAAATCCCCTAAACCCCCAAACCCTAAACCAAAGTCTCAGGCTCCTTGGATCGATCTTGGATTCCGAAGCCAGAAATCCCTCTGCGCAGGATGCCACGCAGCAGAAGGTCTCCTATGTACCGGAGCTCTTCTTTGCCGATCTTGGCTCTGGCCCCGGGGCTCGGAGTACGAGGTACTATAGGAGCCTTAATAATTAGAATAAGGTTTGGGGTATGCTATACCTATAATTATAATCAGGAACCCCCCAAAACCCTATTCTAATTCATTATATGACAGGATACGTATAGGGTTTCGGGGTTTTTGCCGGTTTACCCTCGGCTCTAGCAGGCTGAAGCCCTGAGCCTAAGCGCGCCAACCCTAAGTTTTTATGTTCCATGCTTTGGCCCGCACCTGAGACAAGGACTCCGAAAGCTCTGATGCTTTCCGTTGGATCAGTCCCATTTGTAGGAGGTCCTCAACGAGCAAACATAGGGCAATCCACCGAAGCCGATACCATATGCGCACCTAGGCCCGCATCTTGCGAGTTGTGTAGCGCGTTTTACACGCGAACCCAAAGCCTTCATAAACGCTATAAACACATACAGGTAATCCCAGTCACGGATTGACCCCGAGGTGACCTGGTAATCCTGGCTTGCGACGGCATCTTCGATGTCATGAGCTCCGAAACTGGTCCACCTCTAACTCTCAGAGTGTCCATGTATTAGGAATTATAGGGTTTCGGGAGCAGGTTTTTAGGGTTAAGTTTAGGGATTGGGAATGCCCTCAGCTGCCTGTCCAAGTTCTGAAGTCATTGGTTGCAGTAAGCTCTACAACCCTTGGTCTAAAACGCCAGGCTTGGCACCTTAGACCCTGGCCGGCTCTAGCGTTCTTGGCCCGGTGCAGCCTTCGCCGATTTCCAGCATATGTTCGGCATGTGCCTTTCGTTCTTGGGTTGACTGTACCACGTTATATTCGGCTACAGTGTTTTGTCTTGATTGTTTGGCCAGAGCCGGCGCAGCAACCGGGCACCCGAGGGCAGTTTGGGTTCTATACACGGGTCATATTGTGGGCCCTATTACGGTCCTCAGGTCAAGCACCAAAAATGCACATGTTGACAGTACTGCCCATGTGAGTTCCAGCAAGTAGTTACCTGGACATACAAGGAGCACAAAGAGCAGAATCGAGAGAACCTAAACCAAAGGCAAAACCAAAACCATAACGAAACACACCGCCAATGGTTTGACCATTTTTGATAGATCATCGACCCCTTAAACACAGCCATTAAATTCAGTTTAACCCTATTATCGTACCCTTAAAGGACGAGACACAACCTCTCGAAGCATACAAAGCCACTGAACATAGTGGGGTGCAAAATCGCAAGCCCCACAGCTTCCACTTCTGTAAAGGAACCCCCAGAGGGAGTCTTCAGTTTAACAATCCTTCATCTCGTGGGACTAACATGATTCCGCTGATTCGAGTTTCGATAGAAAGCAGTAATCTAAGGTCAGAGTTTTCAGAGAGTTCAGGGCAAGGCGTGCTTGTACCTGGCAAGTATTATGGGTGAATGTTTCGCACTTTAAACCCGGAAGGTTTTGACTACAAACCTCACTGAACCGAGCATGATTGCCGATCACATGTAAAGTCCATGCAATGAAGCTCTGGGCTTGAACTTTTCTGTAATATGAATCCCCTGGTTTAGTTTAGGACCTTGTGTTAGGGACCCCAGACGCCTCGGCATAACACATAATGAAAGCCGATTCTGTGGAGCCGCTGCGCCCCCATCTCTCTGCAAGAGGGACCTTGGAAGAGTTTTCCCCTGATTTCGTTCCATCGTTCGGAATTTGGGTTGGGGACACAGGCACGGTATAATCACTTCAGTCTTTGAAGAGTCCACTACCGCAAAACAGGAAACCCCCAGCTGCTGCCTCCAATAGCTTCAAGACATGAGGAAAAGCTCGTGGAGGAACTCTTGCAGCACCTTGCTGAGGCGACGGCAACGGGCTGTTGGACGGGGATACTCGCTCGGTGGATTTCCAGGTTTAGGGGCGCGGCTCATAATCAGCAATGTTATGCCCCAAAAATGAGCCTGCACATGTGCAGAATAACCCTTGAAAGCCTATCTCGCATGTGTGTGTGCGCGTATGTATGTATGTATGTATGTATGTATGTATGTATGTATAAATGTATGTATGTATAAATGTATGTATGTATATATATATATACATACATACATGCATGCTCCTACAAGCACATTATGCGAGAAGGGGACCAGGAGGAAGAGCGTTTGAGATGACCCGGGGTCCAATTTCTCTATGCCATCTTCTGGTCGGTTTTCGGCCGGTCCTTCATCAGAGGTGTTTCGCCACTTCGCCCTGCACTTTGTGTGCTCCATCTTTGGGTTTCGACTTTCGGATTTGGGGTTTCGAGTCCTGTTTACACCCATCATGCTACGGCCTCGTTGCCTCATTTTTCCATTTCAACCGGTGATCGTGAGGGCCGGGACTTGGGTGATGCTGCTGAAGCGGTGCTGCACTCCTGCCTGCCTCTCGGACTCTCGGAAACCAGGGCATGAAGGTCAGTTGTGAAAAGCCGTGTGGTCGCTCTGCACATAGGAGCAGATGATGAAGGCATTTTGAGACGTTTCACGACTAAGGCTTGTCGCTGCGATCTTGAGATTTAGGGAGAGAGTGTTTGGAGTGCTGCGCATAGAACGAGCGTGACTTGCCACATGCAGTTGCCCGACAAACAGCTGGAAGCACTTAGTACTCATGCTGCGGGCCTGCCGACCAGTTGTTGTTGGTAGTTTCTGGCATCGAACGACTCAACAACACATTTTCTGCTCCAGTGCAGCAAAGGCTTCTTGGGTCCAGAGACAACATGACCTTGCCTTTGGGCTTGCACGAGTTTGGGGTCCTCAACTCAGGGTTCACGTAGTACTCGGGAGGGTTACGGTTTTAGCTTAAGGGTTCTTGGGTGCAGCCAACAATCTGTGTTCAACAGGCCTCCTCTGAGATGTGCAAAGCAAAAGCTGCGAGGGCGTTGAATCAAGCTAGGATCGTCTCCAATGTGAAGTTCCTTGCGACGGTGGCATGTTGCCGTAATTCTATGCCAAAGCCCTCAACCTAACCTCTGAACCGTGGTACCGGGTTGTCTCCGAGCAAGCATTCAGAACTCAGGCTGGATGGGAAGGTTCAAGCTTATTTTTTTGCCCGACAACCCCTCTTGGAAAACTTATCATCCAGTTTGTAGGGACGGTTAGGTTCTGGTCATAAACACTCGCAAGGCCAGGAAGGCTCTTAGGGTTAGAAGGAAGTGTTGAAGGCTTCTCTCGCACCTCCCCGCCCTTCGAACGCCGTGAAAGCCGGCCGGTTCTCCGTGAGCCTTTCGTGTTAGAGAAGCCCTAAACCCTAAACCCTAAGCCCTCCTCTTCTGCAAGGAGTCCGCAAGCCGACCTTCGTATCCCAAAGTTTCATGCAACCCGAAGACTATCCTCCGACGCCCCACACCGGCCCTACACCCTTACAACCACAACTGACTCAAAGAACTCCTATGTAAGCGTTCTAGGCTAGACCTGAAGACTTAGAGCGGATTTCTATAGGAGCAAGCTTGCGTACGTCAGGCAGCCCCATAATTCCTAGGTTCACACAGACTTGGGCCCTGAGAGGATGGTCTCTCAGCTCGGTCCACCCACTTCGGAAGGATCTCGGCTTTCATGTCTCTGTTTGCTTATGGACGATCCGGGAAGGGTGTGTGGGGTTCAGGGTTTGGAGGTTTAGGGTGTCGAGTTTAGGGCCGGTTTAGGAATTTGCCCTGATTCCTGGCTTGCGCTGATGTGATTCGATTTGTATAGAGGGCTTGCGCGAAACCGAGCCCACCCCTGCGAACGGGGATGACGGATGATGGGAAAACTTCGACGAGTACCGGCATGTGCTGATGTATGCATATGAAACCATAGAAGTACATGTGAGACTATGCGAGTCCGTACATACAGGCATAGATACATGCATGCAAACCAACATACACACATAGATACAGACAGACCGACAGACAGACATTCAGGATTTTCAAAAGCAGTACCTTAGCCCTTTGCCTTCGTGAAGCCTTTGTAGCCCTTCGTATAAGGATAAATGGAAACAGCAAGAATGGTACTGTAGCAATGCCCAATTTTCGCGACGTTCTCCACACACACAAATCATAGCAACATTGAGACTTGTTGCCGCGATATAGTACATATACGATATCTTGTTAATTACTTTATGATGGTAACATGGGGGGCGTGGGTGCTGACCCTGACAGTGCCAGCAAATCGAGGCAAAACATTTCGATTCCAAACCCTACTAGCCGAAGGAGCGTGGGAAGATGGAGTCTCAATCTCTGGGCTCTCCAGCTTCCATGACATCAAGGACGGCTAGGCTTTTGGATAATAGTTCTGTAGACTCCTCCTAAGAACAGGACAAAGATCTTCAGAAGCTCCACTTCGACTTCCTGGAGCACTGTGCCCAGCTGGGGCCACTGCCTGCGCCGGAGCGGGCGCTTTACGAGGAGGAGGGGGGTTTGATAGTGGTTCAGAAGGTTGCCAGGATCCTAAACCCCGAATTCCTACACCCTCAATCCCGAAACCTTCACCCTAACTTCCTGAATATCAGGGCCCAGACAGAAATGAGCCCATTCCGATGCAAACACTCAGCGGAGGTGCGAGAGCGGATGAGGGCCGAGAGCGATGTGCAGTCGAGACTGGAAGCCCTGGTAGAGGCCGGGAATTTGTGGCTTTCTGGGATATGTTAAGGAAGATTTCGGATCGATTTTAGATTAGGCAGCCAGGTTTATGCGTTTTGATGCCTGCCGGTTTTCCATAGAAGTTACGTTTCAAAGTCTTCAGGCTTGATACCATCGAGGCGTCATATGGCATATGGCAGGCAAGAAGGATAAGGAGTGCCGTCCTTCGGGCCCGCTGGCCGACACAACCACTGTAGACACTGCAGACCGGTCGTGGCACAAGTTGTTTTACCGTGCGGCAGCAACGACACGGTATGGGGGTACCATCGGATTGCTCAACTAGTCACTTGCCGAAGAGCCACCGCCAGTTTCGGGTAGTCTGATACCAGAATGGCTGTGACTCCTATTGTTGTTGAGTCAAACTTTTCGTCCGTCTTATCAAAAAGTTGTTCATCATTTTTCGTGATAGTTGAAGTGCTGTCATGGCAGAACAGTGTCTCAACCTTGTCCGATTTTTCCGGCATGAGTATGGGACTTCGGGGCTCCAGGGTTAGGGTCATGGAAACCCGTACCAAGACATGCATAAGCGACATAGCCTGCACAATCCCGACACTTGCAAGTAGCGCGTACATCACATCATGGAATTAGTGGCGTTGTTCAAGAGTTCTTCCATTAAATACACCTCCCTAGAACTTTTCTAGCCAACAGCTTCTTCGAAGTTCTCACTACTTCAATCGCTTCAATCTCTTCCAGTTACAGGCCGCTCACTCCTCGGCATAGTAGTCATGCAATCACAATTGGTACCAAAGAGTCTGCACTCATTCCAGCCTTGCTGCCTCTTCTGTGGCTGCTACGACGTGCAAGACAGCGGCAATGATGACTTTACTTGGGGATTGAATGCACGTCATAGTCGGCAGTAGCAGTAGAAGAAATCTGCGTGCAGAACTTCACGTCCGCGACGCCAAGGAGCTGCAGCCAGGGGAGACACCCGCAGGCGCGCTGCGGAGACTTCGGCCCAAGAAGCGCAAGGCTTGGTGCGTTTGAGCTCAGGAACACATACGTATACGTTTGTTTACTTTGTATGTGTATATATATATATATACACAGTGTAGTTTTGTGTTATTATTTGTTGATGTATGTAGTATGTACAGATGCGTGCGTATATGTATGTATGTATGTATGTATGTATGTATGTATGTATGTAATTCATGTAATGTAGTGTAGCTATGTAGCTATGTAGCTATGTAGCTATGTAGGTATGTATGTATGCATGTATGGATGTATGTATGTATGTATGTATGTATGAGTTATCAACTTCTTATAGGTGTGCAACGCTAAATATACATGCTTGATGAAGGTCTCGCGCCTCGGTCTTGTGGAAGTGTTGGATTTTTCAGGTTTTTTGAGCTCTAGATGTAAGGCACTGGAGTTGGTATTCGTGCTTCGGGGCAACTGGCTTTGTAGTGCAAGCTTGTGCCGGGAGTCGTTTGTCCAGCTTAGGACCATCTGCGTAGCACAGTTGGATTGCTGTTTATTTAAAGTATTTACTTTCCTTTGATCGTATTTTAGTGCTATCTAGTCTTAGCATGGGTTCAGGCCGCCAAATTTCAAGCCAGGCATATCGATAGTATCAGCAGCAAAGCAAAGGAATCCAAGGCTAGGCCAAGTCGTCCCTTCGTTTCTGTGTGCTTTTGCCTTCGTGTGTCTTCAGAATACCTGTAAGTGGCTTGTACCACGTAGATACCAGAGCATGTGCACAGCTTGGGGTTTAGGGCTCAAGGTTCGGGTCTGTTTCTGCGTAAGAATAAGAATGAAAGGAGTAGCATATGACTCTGCAAGAAAATAACCGAATTGCCGAATAGACTTTTGAAGTATGCACAGCATCGTAAGCCAAACGGTCTGGAAGGAGATTACTGGTCACAGCTTTTGAGTGCTGCGCTCCTTTGTTCAAGCATTAATGTTGAAATGAATGTCATGGACTGTGAGGAAGTAGTCTTCTGTCGTTTTCAGGCCGACGACGACAAGTGCAGCTTCACTCGAATCTCGGAGTTATGTGACGCCCGCCTGCATCCTGTGGGGGGTGGCTTCGGGCTTCTAGGATGTTAAGCATGAGCTTCTAGGCACAAATTCTAGGCCTGGTAGCCTGCCGTGTATGATGTCGCAGTTGGGGAGACAATACAGACTGTTCATGCCAGCCTGGCCCACCCCGGCCCTAAACATCTTGCTGATGTCCCAACATCTGGCTAGCCGTTCAGGACCAGCTCGTGTTCGACGGAATTGCGTCGGTCTACGAGGTGATTCTCACTAGTTGTTCCGGGGCGCTGCCGCCATCCACGGTGTGTAAGCGGATGCTGGTGGGAGTGGCAAGGGCTCTTTTGATAAACCCCAAACCCTAATTATGCGGGCTCGTCCTTGCTAAGTGGGAGGGAAAAAAGCTTATAGCTGTGCTTACCCAGTGGCCTGATCTGTTCTGAAGAGCTGCTGGGGGCCAGGGAGTCCCTTTGGGACCTTTTTTTAGTTTTGGGTTTACGAGGTCTAATTAGGATTTGAGGTTTTGAGGGTCCTAGGCCTTCTTAGTTCCTGATTCTGTGAACTCTTGCATTCACCGGAGTTAGGGTCAGTGTTTGAACTCATGACCCCTAAACCCTGAACCGTCAATGGTTGACAGGCTTCACGTGCTGAGCTGATGAAGCTTCGGAGCGTGAAAGCGCGCGGCAGCTCGAACGGAGACAGTTGCTAAAGGGACTGAATAATTAGTAAGTTAAGTTAAGAGTATGCCCTTCTAATCCAGCATACATACCTCTATGATTCTTCAGGCGGCCCCTCGAATACTCGTCCCCGGAAAGTCCAAAACAAGGTGCAGAATGATGTTGCCGTCGCCCTTCTGTGCATCGGTTGCTGCTTAGAGCCGAGAGGAACCGAGGAACCGTTGCGGCAACGCAGAAGCAGAATTTGACACTGGACAGACATCCCAACTAGTCAGGCCAAGCGCGATCCTGTTTAGCCGCCTCGAAGAACTTGTGCCTGCAGTGATTTCACCGAACTCATTGTCCCTGCCACTGCTCTGCTCACCACACCGATCCTCGGTAGTCTGACGGCGCGGCCACCGAGTGCTGCAATTCCCATGTATATTATACTATACTATATTATAGTATATTATATTTTATTACATTAATATTATATTGTCTAACGTTTGGACTTCTGATCTTGCTTGTCAACATTGGCACTGCGCAGATCGTCGGAGTCGACGGGGTGAGGATGGTGGAGTAGCGGGGACGGGGCGCGGAGGGGGTCTGGGGGGGTGGGGAGAATTTACTTGTAAGTTTGCCGATGAAAAAGCCAGGGGAAATACAAAGCAAAATGAAAATTACGACCCTGCAACCTCCACCAAGGACAAGCTAATCCAAAAGCTGAACAGAAAGCAGCTTGAGCCACCGTGCTGTCTCTCCTGCATAGCCCGCCAAATTTCCAGAACTAGGTTTAATTTCATTCCTAATCTGCACGAGCTACCCTGTGAAAAACGGGTTTTGTTGCCTTCTATTACCTTTATTTGCATTTTCCGTTTACTTCATCCTAGGGTTCTCACTGTTTATGCACTTTGTATTCAGCTCAGGAATCATTTCTTTGTTTGTCAAAGCAGCCAGCATTTCAAGGGTATCAGGACTTTTGGATGACTCAATCAGGGCCTATAGGCATGTTTAGGGATTCGGGCCCTGCCCCCTGTAAGCGACTCTGGCTACTGACTCATACCAGAGACCACACTGGTGTAGCCTCCACCTCAACGCCTGGATTAGGGACTTTCAAACTTTATGAGGATTTGGAACCCTGGTCCCGAAATCATAGATGAACCTACAGGTTCGGCGAATGGTCTCCCCACATTCTGGTAGGCGTTGATGCGTGTCCGAAACTGGGGGTACTCTGCATCAGCCTAATTCATCGCACTTAAAAACAGATAGAGCAAGCTCAGACTTAATCTGAGGTAAGATGAAGGACAAAACTGCCAAAAAAACCTGTCCGGTAAAGGACGCCGAGGCGCTGTCGTGTCCTAGGGATGGGGTTCCACTTTGTCGGAAGGTCGCCAGAGACATGGCCGGTTGTACCGGGTACCGAGCATCAACGGTTTCGTTTGACATTATGACTTGATACATTTGGTATTAGTAGGAGAGATGTTTCAAAGGCTCGGAACGTTAAGCCCTGTAAACTCTAAATCCGAAAGTCTTGGCAGCCCCAAAGCCCCGATGCATCAAGGGAGCGCGGACAAAGCCCATTGTCTTAGGCTTGTTCTGGAAGTTTGGGTCCCGGAGCTAGGTATGGCACAAGTACTGCTTTGTGTCGTTCAGACGATGCTCGTGTGCGTTGATGGCATTTGGTTGGATGTTTGTACTCTTGTACTATAAAGGATTTATCAGATGTTTTATACTGCACACACGGGGCATGCCTCTGTACAGGTAGCACCAAGCTGGTAAACCCAACTGCCCCCAGCCTCTTGGTGTCAACTTGGCTTCGAGATCAATCCGTCATCCCTTCATTCAATATCGCCACAATCTAGAACTCAATGTTGGGAGAAGTGCAGGTCGATGCCGCCAAAGCTGCGGAAGATCCGAGCTGCGAGTGCCTGGGGCATTGTTCAATACGCTTGTCCCACTGCCATGTGCCTTTAATGTCAGAACAGCAGCCATGGGAAACTTTATCTGTGGCACCTCGTGCACCGCAAGACCAGCCTTTTGCAATGGTTCGGGTGCTGGGTTATGTATGTAGTCTAAGACCCACACGTAAGACATCTTTGCCAAACAGGCACTGCTTAGGCGGGCCTTGGTGTTCACGGCAGTGTTTTCAGCACTCACAGATTTTTCTTCTCTGTAGGAACTGGCAGTATCGCTGGGCTGCTGGCGACGAGCAAGGTGGCGGACGTGGGCTTCGTTGTCGGGTTCTAGGAGTCGGCTTCGGAAGGGTCCTGGTACATGGGTAGTTCTCTAAATTCGGGTCCCTTTTGAGGGCCCCAATATAGCAAGGCACCCTTATAAAAGGACCACCCGAAAGGGACCCTAGGGCCTTAATTTAGAGAACTACCTACATGGGTTCCTTAAGCGCCTGTGGAGTTGCTAGAGTCGAAACCGTAAACCCTATAAAGCACCAGGAGGCTTAACATAGGCTTGCAGGCCATTCACCTGTCGAGACTTCTGTCGGCCAAACATACTAGTATGAATAATAATAATAATGATAGTAGAATGCTAATGAGTATGGTGCTTGTTGTGCTAAGATAAAGAAAAATATTCCTAGTGACAGTAGTAGGAATAGTATTGGTAGTACAGAGAACGCAGTTAATGTTCACAATAATGGTAAAATTTAGTTTTGTGTTGTTACTTAGTGCCGGCGGGCGACTCACCAGAAATCATGTGCAGGCCACTCCTCACGGTGGACGTCGCCTGTCAGCCCCACATCTCCCCAAAGCACTCGGAAGCACACAAGAACAGGAGTGGTCTTTGGCCCCTTCCGTCGCGACATGTTGGCAGCACCTTGGTGCAGTTACCGCGCAGTTCGGGAGGGCTTCCTGCATGATAAGATCAGGTCGCATTGCAGCTCAGAGTTTGTATAGAATGAGCCAATCGAGAGCGACGACGTACGACCAGATCAATACAGGCTTCGAAACAGAGCAAGGCTTCTGTGGTGCAAGGCCTATCAAGGCCTCAAAGCTCAAGATTCTTACACGGGAGTTGATTGAACACTAAGCAGCCGTTCTTTCAATGTAATGTAAGAAAACGATAAGCCCTAAACCTCCTCATGGAACCCTGCCCTAAGGAGTGGAAACGCCTGGGCTGCTTCAACGAAGAGCGACCCGCGGAGTTCCGACGCGTTGGGGATGAAGGTGTGCTGGACATTTTTTGCTACGAAGGTTTGTGGTATTCAGTGTACCTTCCTTTGGGGTCCTTAATATAAGGATACTACTATTTAAGGTACTATATTGGGGTCCCGGTTTAGGTTTGGGATTGCTTGTGCTGCACTAGCGACATGCCAGGCCTTTGTGTTTAGCATCGTTCAGATATCAGATTGCGATGAATGTGTGCGTTCGACCATCAATCATGAAGCGATCGCACTCAACCTATACCTAAAAATTGAAATTTTAGAAAAAATCTTCTACTAGTAGCTTAGAGACCCGACGGACTCTATGGTTGCAGCGTGGGGGCTCCCGGATCCCCGGATCCTAGGCCTTTGCATGAACCCGAGACTCTGAAGCCCAGCAGTCCGAAGTGCCGAGAGCTTGCTACGTCCATTTAATAACAGGGTTTAGGGCTTAGGGGTTTAGGGTTCAGGGTTTAGGGTTTAGGGTTTGATGGTTCAGAGACTTTCTTTCTAGTCCTCCAGGCGATTCTGGGTCCACACCATGCACCACAGTCAGAGTCATGGTTCGTTACTGTGCACGGCTCCTATTGTCTATCTTCTACTTGAGATCAGCGACATGGCTTGCGGAGAGGATATTGCGCAGTTACAGTCTTTTACACCCATGCCGTGACACCCTTGAGGTGATGCTTGGCTGGATTGGAGTGAAGTGAGCTTCGACTAGAGAAGTGAAGAGGCGGTTTACACTGCTGGGGTGAAGCCGTAGTTTCTGCAATCGCATTGCAGCGGGGGTAGCTAGCGAACCTGACGTGTGTACATATACTACCCTCCGCGACGTGAGAGCTAGAAAAACTCACTTAGCAATTGTATGTATGTAGAGCCAGATACACTGTATACACATGCATACATGCATCTCACTTTCTCTGTTTTTTGCATTCATTATATTCTGTAGATGTCTGTATATTTGTGTCGATATATATATATATATACATACACCTATGTATAAAACATGTATATGCACATCTTGTAGACCTACCTACCTAACTACCTGCCTACCTACCTACCTACCTACCTACCTACCTACCTACATACATACATGAACACTTCATGCAAAACCATACATACATACAAAACATACATACATACATACATACATACATACATACATACATACATTTATTTAGACAGACATACATACATGAATACATGCGTGCATGCATGCATACATACATGCAAACAAAAACATACATACATACAAAAACATACATACATACATACATACATACATACAGACATACATGCGTTTAGACATACATACATACATACATACATACAGACATACACATACACATACACATACACATACGCACACCCTTACACATACACTCATACATACATACATGCATACATACATACATACATAAATCTTTACCTACATGCATACGTATGCACATGTGTATGGGCCTGCGTGCATGAAGTGCCATGTGCATGCCTTCTTGAGGGTCGATGTTCGACCGCCTGCTCGAACCCTAAACCTAACCCTTGTTTGGACCCTTATAAACCCGAAGTCCTAGCCTGCACCTCAGAACCCTAAACCCCTATACGTGTGCACCTGCACACAGTGTGCAGATGGGAGCGCAGTCATCGCTGCAGCGCGGCCCAAAGTGGCACGCAGCCCCTCCGCTACTGAGTTCCGCCATCTGACGAAAAGACAAACAGCTGCATAATGCAGGCCCTTAATAGTTGGAATAGGGTTCGTTTATAAGGCTTCCCTGATACAAGTCCATCGGATTACTAAGAGGGTGGAAAATAGGGGCCTGTATAATTAGCAGAGGGTTTTGCTTGAGGAATAGTATTAGTCATCATTCGGGCCATTAAGGTTGTACAGGTACGGGTTGAGGGAAGAGGTGTTCGCAGGTAGGTCCTGTCCTACTCAAGACGCAGCTCCGATCACGATCACGAGGTCGGGACGCTTCGCTTCGGAACTGCTACACACCAAAACCCGTGGAATCATGGGATTCACTGCATGAGCTCAGAAGTGGCGACTGAGGACCGGATTACCAAGCTCAAGCCAAAGAGATGGTCCTGGAGGAGTTTGAGAGGCTTGGCCTCGCACCACGAAGTGCTCGATGCAGTCTTGGGCGACATTGCGCGATCGTTTATCCAAAATCTGAACACCCTGGCAGACTCTCCCGCTATCCCAAGTTCAATCACCTTTCATGACCTTCTTTGAGCAAGAGATGTCGGAGTCTCTGCTGAAATCCTGCAGAGGCGCCTCGCTTCGTGCATGGAGCAGCTGGGAGCTGCTCGGCCCACCTTTGGACTGATAGGCGCCCCTGCTTAAGAGCTCGGGGGACTTAGTAAGTAGGGTTATACTTGGGGTTCTACGTCCCCTAGGTAGGGCTATCCGAAATTACAACATTACTTATAGCTTGTAATTCTACTTAATAAGTCCCTGGGGCCTTGAAGTAGGCCCCAAGGCCTAAAACCGCCTTGTCCCAGTTGTGAGTGTTGAACCAAAGCCCATCAAGCCTACTCCCTGAAAGCCTTAAATCCTGAGCCTTGCACCGAGTACTCTAAGAAACAAGTCGGCCCACCAAAACCTTCGACTCTAGACTCGGCAAGCCATCTTAAGGCCGTAAGCCTTAAGGCCACACGTCCTCAAAAACCAACATCAACCAGGCTCCAAGAAGGCATGTGTAGCTCTATGCACCTCATGCTTCTTTCTGAGGTAGACCAAACGAAGGCCCTAAGAGCCTATAGCGAAAAGCTGTCAGGCTTTGAGGGGTTTTGGCTCATCCTGAAGCTCGCAGCTGGTGTCGGATTGCGGGAATATTCGTCGTGTTATTCATCAGAGTTCCAAAAACAAGAAGACTGTAGTGTACCGCAAGCCCCTATTCTAGATATGACTTCCCCCTTGGTGGATGGAGTCTCGACACATGCATGTATCAGCACCTCACATCTTCGAGACTCCCTGAAGAACAAGCAGCAGGATATCTCCGCATATGGTTTTGCAATAGTATGCGTTATGAGAAATCGCAACGGCTCGAATAATTTTGCCAATCCCCCGTCACACCGACGAACTAAACACCAGAGTCAGAAGCCCTTGTTTGCCCAAGGGCCTTCGCGATGCATCCCAGTCGAGTCGCCAGGAGGCTGCAGCGGCGATATCCATCCAGGCTCGAAGATCCTGTGGGGGGAGGTTGGCGTGGGTTTTGGGTTCGTTTTCAGGTGATCCATGGGGGCAAGCGCATGACAGTCATAAGAGAGGAGCGATTCACGCTCAATTTTCTTAACAAGGTTAGCCCTTTGCAAACCCCATACACTGCATGTTGCCTTCGGTATGTACGTAATATCAGGGCCATCCTCAACAACTACCAATATTATTCCTCGGGGCTCCTGATCATAATGTTGGCGGCATGATTTTTCTTGAAAAGCTATTCTAATTGTTAAGGATCCCATATTCTATGTTCCTGGTGTTAACCGACTCTTCTAAGTACTCCTACTTCCTAATCTTTGTTGCAGACCTTGCCTGGCATTGTCAGAGTGTGAGCATCAACAAATCCAGACCCCAAGCCCCTAAACCCTCCTAAGCTTACAAAAAGGGAATGACATGGAAAGACCTTCCAGGCACGCATCGCCTCATTGCAGCATTCCCTGACGATCCTCGGCAGTGTGGGCGCGGAGTGTGATTTACAGTGTTCCTTTAAGGTGCAAGGGTCACTATAGGGGTCACTAGACGACTTATTGTAACGGCATGTTTAACACAGGGCCTTCGTGGCAATCAGGGTCGAGCGATTGGATGGTTTTAGGGTTCAAGGAGACACGCAGGAGTGCGGAGGAGGACGGGTGGGGTGGGTTGCATCGCGCAGGCTTGACCCATGTCGTCAAGGCAAGCGCAGCGGAAGTCAAGAGGGCTTGGTGCTTCAGGGGCAGTCGGCCAAGAATTCTGCAAGTTGTGCACGGAAGAGCTGGATATTCGAGTCCCCAAGATTTGATTCCATGAGCTTGGGCACACCTGCACAACCCATTAAGAAGCACAGAATGCCTGCAGACTAAGCCCACGCAATATTGATTTCGGTACCAGTGGCCAGCCATGCCGGCGCCAACCATTCCTGTGGGGTCGAAGCCTGTCGAAGAAGATTTGCATTCACGGAAGGCTTGGCGGCTGGGAATGGCCAAAGTGGGTTGTGGGTTTAGGGTTGATAATAAAGTATCCCCCAACCGCAAGCTTACTGAGTTCAAAACAACGTAAATAGTTACACACTCCTGCAAAGCTCCCAATCACATAAAGCTCCACTCTGCCATGCCTCTTCGATTCAAAGCATCAAAACCCCTTAAAAAAGTCGCAAGCTCTGTTAAACCCTCCTTAGCCCTACACTCCAAGCCATGCAACCCCTCTAGATCCAAAGGCCCAAGCCAAGCCGCCCGGGTCTGAACTTGAACCCTGTCGCACTCCGAACACTGCCGGTGATCGTGGTGTTTCGGGGGCGTTCAGGGCAAAAAGGGGTTCAGGGCGTTGAGGGTATGTGATTGTAGTAGCACATGGCATGTAACAGCCATGAGGAACTACTAACAGCTGCATTTCTGGTAGTATCTGTGGTCAGTGTTCAGAAAAAAGTAGTAACAATAAAGATGCGAAGGATCACGATGAATGTTATCAGTCTAAGAGCAAAAAACAGAGATCATCGACATTATCAGATTATCACGAACCTCAATCATCCTCTAAACCCAAACCCTACGAATTCAGCACCCTTCTCCCCGACAGGACGCTGAGGTCTCACTCAGCGCAGAGCTGGTCCAGCTCCTAAGCTCTTGTTACGGAATGTTCTTGAAGTTATCATATCCCTAGTGACAGAGCAAGTGTTATGCAGTTCCGTATGGTTTAGGGTTTCGCATCTCGCCACGAGTGCGATGTGCTGCGAGGGGATTTGGCCGGGCAAGCTCAAGCCTGCGCAAAAAGAGTCACTACTATTATCCACAAAAAATGACTTATCATAATTAATCAGGGTTACTTATTATCCACAATTCATGACTTATCATAGTTGCGTTCCTCAGCAAGAACTCAGGCTGCCAGAGGAGCGGCTGCTAGTTCTGGAGCAAGAGCAGCCGAGCAGCAGTCCTTGTCCTTACCAAGATCCAAGCGGAAAGAAGGGCTCCGGGGTTTTGGGTCTAAGACTCATAGCGCTTAGAGGGCTTGAGGTTTATTTAAAGGCTTAGGAAAAGGGTGTGGTGGATAAACGGGCAATTAAGGTTAATCGGGTGTGCACGTGTGCTACATTTATATGTTCAGCTTGTTGGGGGCATCTGCGGTAGTTTAGATTCAGCGGTTCAGGTTCAAGTTTCGTTTCTGTTTCTGCTTTCTGGTGACTCTGGTCACCTAGGATGGCCTGGCTGCGGAAGCAGCTGCAGTTCGAACTGAAGCAGGTGACGGCCCGTTTGCAGGCCTCATGGCTGAGGATGGAGGGTTGCAAAGGGAGCTTCGACAAGCGTGCCCGAAGTCTTGAGGTAGTGCGAGTCTAAATCAGCCCTTCAACAGCCCTACGCTATAAAGCCAGCGGCCTTCATCCCAGATTCGCTCGAAGTAGGTGAGGTTGCGGGAGCCGACCCCTTCGTGTCCAAGCGAATGCCCGACTCCATTGGCATCCTATGCGAATGCACATCCAAGACTCCTAAACAAGGACAGCATGGCGCCCTAAACGCCCTAAGGAACCGCCTTTCGGT